CAGCCTGTGCCAGTGTCTCACCACTCCAGTTTTTCTCCCAATTTTCATGACAGTTTCACTTTTCAATATTCTTTTCTTGAAAACTTGCAGGGCTCAGCAAACTGACTGAAAGGTTTTCAAAACTGATGCCCTAGGAATTGTGTCAGGGTACAGTGAAAGCAGCTGAATGCCATTTCTGCCAAAAGTTGGAGGTGCATTCAATGCAGCTGGACAAATCAGTCTCTGGTAGAGAGTGTTTTCAACTTCAACCCCCTGGGATCATTTATTAATAGCAGATGGTGTCCTATAATCTAGCATATGGCATTGGACCACCCAACAGGTGTCTGTGTGTGTACATGGCAAGGCAATACAGGAAGCATTAGGAAAAATTATGATATGAAGTTCCCTCCCCCCTTAGAGTTAGGAGCATCTGCACAGGGAATCGGAGAGGAGATGAGTGACGTCCCATCATACCACACCAAATTAACACAAAAGCATCATTAATATTTTTTTCACTTGAGTTCAGTAGGTTTTAATCACAGTAATATTTACAGGCTCAGTAGTATGACTAAATTACAAGTTTTTCACAGGCAAAGCAAACCTTACTGCAGAGCCTGAGATTTGTTTCCCATCCTGATTTGGTGTTTGTACAGTAAACAAGCACAGAAACACCTGAGAGATTCTGAAGTATTCCTAAAAGTACTAGGAGACTGACCTTGCTATTGCTTTCAGACAGAATGCATTTAAACTCAGTTTGCCACATGGTGTTTCTTCACAGAGCTGCTGCATGTACACACCTCCATTCTGTACCTCACTGAGAATTTCATCTCCTTACCAGAATTGAACATTCTCTCATCACTGTATCTAGACTCATCCTTTGAAGGTGAAGTCTCCCCATATGTTTCTTCTGTGCCACAGACTTAGCTTGTACTTAGCTCAACGTACTTCACATAATAAAAAAAAAAAAAACATGGAAGAGGAGAATAAATACTTTCTGCTAGGTGTCACTACGAAAAAGCTGGATATCTGCTTTTACTCAATAGAGAATGGTCCAACTCATAGTATCCAATCAAGGTCTAGCTGTTAAAGATCTTTTTAATGGAAGGAAATAATAATAAAACCACATTTATGAATAACTTTCCTTCCCAGTACATACTCATCCTTTCTAACACAAGTATTAGCAAGCAGAGCTGCAGTTTGAAACAGCCCACCCTAATCTAGACATAGATCATCACATCCCACAGAAGTCAAGAGGGCATCAGTAAAGGCATCTGTAAACATGTGCTAAAGGACTACATTAACAAGATGTACTTGCTCACATACTTTGTATATCAGTGTAATAAGGCATTGGAAAGTTGCAGAGCAGCTCAAGTCTGATACAAAGCTAAACAGGTTCCTGCAAGGTGCTGTGGTAGCTTGGATCCTCAGAGCTGTGTACTGATCAGAGGGTCTTCATCAGTGCTCAGGTATTTTCCACTTACAGGCTCCTTGAGTGCCCAGTCATGGAGGAGACTGTAATCATAGTGCTCCTCATCCACTCGTTTCAGAAAGGCCAGTCCAGAAATGGCTTCCCACTCTCTGAGGGATGGGATACGAATTTCCTTTACATTTTTACTTCCTGGGACAAAGCCAAAGAACTTCTTTACATGCTGCATGGCATAGAGCCTGGAGTGCTGCTCTGTTGCCTCATCAAAGAGCTCCTGCTCGTTGTGGACATAGCTGCTCCAGTATCTGAAATGCAGAAAGCTGAGCGGGGAGAAACAGCTTGCCAGGCAGTAAGACAGGAAGACGGTGATGACTACCACAGCGATCAGAAGCCAGCCAGCCACCTTACAAAGAGAAAGAAAGTGGCTGTTATGGCTGAAAATACTCAGTGATAACTTCTGAGCACCATCCATGAGATGACCTCTGCTTGCTTTTCCTAAATAAGGTTGACAAGGTATAAGCCTGGAAGAGGCCTGTTGCCATCAAACCCAGTCCCTGCCTACTGGAGGCAGCCATGTGGTAAAGTTACTAGTTCCTGTCAAGTTTAAGAAAGTTCTGCTGTATAGTTTTAAGTATTTTGCGTCCATAGCTGTTATTGTGAGAAGAGAAACCATCTAATTCCTAGATTATAGTAGTTTATAGCCTGTTTAAAACCAATATTCTCTGAAGTGACAACTTAATGCTTCCCCTATTATTTACTCACTATGTAAACTTGTAGAACTGAGTCTGTTCTGAAAACACGATTTTACATTGGCTTCTATGGAGCTCTTACAGCATCAGCCCCTTTGTCACATGGTTCTTATGCTTGAATAAAGAAACTTCATACCCTCACTGGCTCTTGAACTTCAATTTGTCTTACTTGATAGTACTTTTCAGGATACTACACAAGGAAAAATATATCTTTCAGTAGCAGGTAACAAATGGTATAACCAGACATAGTAATTTATATACCTAAAGTTAGGTTCCACTTGCAGGAACAAAACAGGCTTCAAAACACAGAGATTTGCACTCAAGGGAGAAGACACTGATACTGTTTTATTCTAGCAGTTTGCCTGCTGAATTAACTTCTCCTCTCTCATCATTAGGTCCACAAGCAAAAGAAGCAACGTGAGTTACTCACTTGTGACTGGTATCGGAGTAGGAGAATCACTTCATCTCTTGCCCGGGTCAGCTCTGGAGGAACTAACTGACTGCATGGAAATGTAGCCAACGTCCTTCTACGTTCACCCGCAGTAACATTGGGATTAGCTCCATAATAATACATGGGGACATACTCACTCACAGCACAGACATAGTATGAACCATTTATCAGAGTCACTGCGAGCCATGTCACTGGAGCAACCAGGGCTCTCCCAGTGATGCTGCACAAGACAAAGCAGATCAGTTTGCATTTCAGTAACCGGTTTGATGTAGTCACTTTCTCAAAATGAGTTCTTTTGCCTGTAACCAGCCTCCAAGTCTGGTTATTGAGGGCATAGCCAACAATCAGAAGGATCAGTGCAGGAACTCCTAGGAAAGCCAGCCCATAGATAAGGTTCTGTCCAACATGACAGGGACAACTAAATGTGAAAAAAGAAAAAAGTTGTTGCCCTCCAATTGTCAATATTGCAATTATAGCATTAGCAATAACAACCTCTTTGCCTTTTAGAAAAATTAACCACTTTGGAAGGAAAGTCATTTCAGATCTTATTCTTTATCAGACTCTCTTGCTTTAAGTCAACACTAGCTTTTAGTTATGTTTAACTAATGTTAATGGCAGAACAGACTCCAACAGCTTAAAAAGATACCACCAAACACAGCACCAACAAAACCCTACTAGTCTTTCTCCTCCCACTAATTTCTGATAGCTTGTTTGCTAGCTTTAAATACCCTTGCAGACATCCACTGATGTGGTTTAATTGATTCAGTAATTTATCTCAGCAGTTCTGGAACATTTTGCTTTTAGGCAGTTGTGAGCTCTGCCAACCCCTTGCTAATTGTCTGAAACTAACAATAAATTCCCCCTACCTTTTGGATGGCATGCAGTGCTATCAAACTGATGACTAACCTGTCAGGGTTAATTGGCAAGCTGTTTGCTAATCAGCAGTAATTAGCAGAGGCATGGCATGAGACAAGGAAAAAAAAAAAGGAGACCTTTCAGCTATGCTTCGTAAAAGAGCAACCGAAGCCTTGGCAAGTGCACTGACTATATATATAAAAAAATAAATAATGAAGTATTTAAAACGCTTCAAATTTAACATAAACCCATAAAATATTCCACAAATTGCATAACACTTGGAATCCCAGTGCTGTTTGTATTTAATGTCAGTTCTTTTTCTGGGGCAATTTGCTCTCCAAACACTGGAGTCTGAGATGTAGTTAGCTGCTGGACCACGAGTATTTTGGTGTTTGACCTGTAGGTGGCAAGAATCTGGCACGTCTCTTTTCCTGACAGTGCTCAGTGTTTCCTTTGGAAAGTTGGGGTTTTTTGTGGGGGTTTTTGGTGTGGGGCTTTTTTTTCCTTTTGGCAACGTATAATCTGCTATTCACTTCACACGGTGTCAAGCCAGCTGACATTTAGTTTTAAAATTTACTGTAAATATAATCAGTCTCATTTTGTGGACAGAGATAGAAAATTTGCAAGTAAACATTTCCAGAGCTGGTTTCTGGATATTGGGATATATGATCTGGGCTCTGAGCATCTCTGACAAATCAAGCCATTAGCAGAGGCCTGAAAAAATTTAAAAATGTAGTTCCTGATGATTTTCTCTGGATTGCACATTTTCTGTGGTCATGCCATCCAGTAGTTCTATACATTACATAACCTGGACTGATCTGAATATGCAAATACTTGTGTTTAAGTACTGAGAAGTCTAACTGCCTGTAATATAAACATTTTTACCCAGAACAGAAAAAAAAGTCTATGGGAAAAATTGTCTTCCCATTACAGATGTCTATCTCCAGCACATGTGTACTTGGTCGCGTGATCTAACAGTGTCTGTCTGCACAGCCTCTTCTCTCCCCTTGCAGAGAGGGTTGCTAATAATAAGGTTCATCTCAAACAGTAGTTTTAGCATTCATGGTATCTGCTTGGAGAGCAGAGACACTCTCACAGCTGTTATACATATGGATGGCATGTTATACACGTCTTGCCTGTTTATTAGGCAAGACCTTGTTCCTCCAGCACACTGTTAGGGTGGACACCTGCTTGTCTAATCCCCAGTCACTATCTGTGATAGAAGCCCTTGCTGCTAACTGACTCACAAACTATGTAACACCATTATACAAAACTAAAAACAGTAGAGAAACATGCTGTAACATCCAGCAACACTTCCCCATAGCTTTTCTGGACCTTGTTGTTAAGTGCTCAGTTGATTGGGCAGAGTAGTAGCACAACGAAATCCTGGTGCTGTCTGAACATTGCCATTTTGAACTTTGTTTTCTTTCAGTATCACAGGATTTTCAATAACTTTCTTTGTACTAGTGGCATTATGTTTTGAAAAAAAAAATCAGTGAAATAAACCCATTAGGCTATTACAGAATAATTTTGAAGATGTGTTTTATAAGAGTCTTCCATTATGCCTCAGTTAATTTTAAAATCTCAATTGATTGCTTCTGAGTTTTCTGTGGGAACCAGTGTCTTACTTTGCTTTTAAGGGAGGAAGGATTTCCCAGGCATCCCTTGTTTACTCAAGAAACACATTAGATGTGAAACTGAAGCAGTGTACAACACTGAAATATTCATAGTCAGCCTAAGGCTGTTGAATAAGGCAATTTATGCAATCAATACAACAACTTCGTACTGCTGCATTTTCACTTCTTTGGCATTTGCTTTCATGCTCTGCTGTAAATGATCCTGCTGGGTCATCCTATTATGGAACAAATTACAGGGTTGGATCCAATTAAGAGCTTGGGCGGCACATCAAACCTGTAAGTACTTACTTGCCTTTGCAGAGGAACCCAGAGTAGACATTTAGGCCCTTTATCCGATTCCCAGGAAAAGTTAGAACTGAATGCAATCCAAAAAAACAGTACCTGAGGTGACAGCCAACCTGCCTTTTGAGGCAAAGTGATGCTTATAGCTGCTGTCTGAAGCAAACAGGACACATGAGCAAACCTTAGCCATGGTTTTGCTTGTCATATTGCAGAGCTCTGTCAGGCTGAACTCACTGCCAGTACCCTCACCTGTGAGAGTAATAAAAAAATAAAAAGAAAAGATTTGATAGAATTTTATGAGTGAAAATTTCGTACGGAGAGCAAACAGAGGCCACACCCTCATTTTTACTAATTTGGTCATCCATCTTTTGTGGCATATGCATTCTTGTTTTGGCTCGAAGAAATATTTTAGATTTTTTTTATGTATTTGACATCCAATTCATTATTCTCTATGAAGAGAACTGATGTAATCTAATGCTCAAGTCCAGTGCCAGACCAAGGGGCCGAAGGCTAAAATTCCCTCCTGACAAACATGACAGAAAGGGAGGAGGAGGATGGTGCTAACTTCCTCACTATTCTATTTGCATTGCATTACTTCTAAGAAGTTTATGTTAAAGTTTAAAACAGGTGCCAGATATGCTCCAACCTCTACTCTTTTCACAGGGCTGCAAGACAGTCCCAGTGACTTGTTTCCTTCACAGGAGCCTTTGGATCCCCAGTTTATTTGGACACACTTTTTCAGCTTCATTTTCTCAGTCATATGCAAACCTTTCGAAATATATACATTCTACTCAATGCGTCATAATATGTGTGTGAATTTACATGCATACACGTGTGCATGTATGTATTTTCCAAAGAATGATAATGTGCCCTTACCATTCATTATATTGTCTGGTCCACAGTGTTTGTGATTGTAGTATTAATAATGCAAGCTGAAGTAATTAATCCATATATTCACAACCAGATAAATAAAATGGTGCTCATTTATGGGTAGCCTTAAGTGCTTTGCAGTGGGTTCACTGCAGTTAAATTATGCTAATGATAAACTTTTAGAGTTGTTTTTAAAAATGTAATACAGCACACCTTCTTGTGGAATATGGGATGACTCTTGCAGTGTGAGACACATTTGGTGCTTGTCTCTAGTTGATGACAATTGGAGAAGCAAACCCAAAGACTCAATTTAGAAATGCAAGTAACTATCTAGAGAATTTTAATGCCTGGCTTTTAAAAGTTATTTAAATTTAGATATGGGAAGTACCTACAATAGTTTCACTTATAAAAAATGGAGTAGGATTTTGCAGGGCTAGAAAAGTGTCTGCAAAACCGAAGGAAGAGACTTATTATATTGGAAAGTGCTCAGCACCAGTTCATTCTGTGTAAAATAAAATCTGTTAGGATGACTAAGTTTTCCACAGAAAAATCTGAAAATCTTTTATCTGACCTATTTTTCATTGTTGAATTGTGTCATAACTTTAAACTACCATTTTTTAAACTAAACTGATGCTCCTTATCCCAAATGAACTATATCTGATGCTTTCTGTGTATCTGGTGTGGTAAATTCCTGTAATTTTACTCTAGCACTAACTGAATTAATTAATAGAAATTTAATAACAGCGTAACATTCAGATGAGTCCATATATTTATACTTTCTTTCCTGAGAGGACTCAGGGGGAATATATGTGCAGGTAAGTGCTATAAGGAATGACAGCTACCTGGTTCATTTCTAAATTCACCAGTCACCTTAGTCGAAATTTATCGCAAATCTAAACTAACAGCATAGGCCAAACCTACCTCTGGGGAAACCAGACAATGTAATCCTGAATGTTCATAGCAGGGATGTTTACATGTAAGGGCTACAACAGGTTGTGAATGATAGAAGATCCCTAGGAACTTCATAAATAAAAGTGCCATTTGCACAAGCTGGAAGCTGTAGCAGGTACACACTTTATTCCTCTGGAAAGCTGAGTTCTCTGGATCTGTCCTGCCAGCTTTGCCAAAATGTGGTGGTAACAGTGCCTTAAAACCCACACTGCCCCTGCTTAGGCAGACATTAACTCACCAGACTAAAGCAGTCAGAGCTGACAGAAGACTATAGTTCCTTTAAGTTGAAAATGAACAATTTTTAATTTCCTTGCACAGCAGCAGTATCTTGTAATTGTGTTTTTATTCTTCTGAGAGGAAGCTATTGTTAGCTCTCCAAAAACCAAAGTCTGATACAAACAACAGAATGAATATGCTGTCTCTAAAAACTACAACCTGTGAATCTCTTGGAGCTGTCCAGTTTGACTTCCCATGGCTGTTTGCTCTGTATTTGGTTACAAATAATTCTTATGGGCAGCACAGTTATTTCTGCTGTGGACAGGGGCAGCTCCATTGCCAGTCAAGTTCCTCCCAAAAGGCTCAGTACACACAGAGAATAGGAGGAGCATCAGCAGCATTACAGACTGCAGCAAACACATCTCATGCAAAAGGCAGAAGAGCAGAGAGAAGACTTAAGAGAAAGAGGAAATACAGTGATTGAGAGAAAACTATGCTGCTTGAGGAAGAAAAGACATAAACTGACAATCAAGTACATTAGGAGTTACACAAGCAGCATGTCTCGATCACCAGGAAGGAAGCAAGAGAACCACAAAATAGTAAGACATCTTTGTAACGTGTTATTGAAATTCTGCATGGAGTAAGAATAAACTACTATTGTCTTGATGCATTTTGTACAGTCGTATTTCTGTACTGAAAGGATAGGGATGAGCCTGCCAGTTCATGAGCAGAGGTGCTGGCAGCATTTATGTCTGCTCTCCCTAGTGCTGAGATTCTGAGCAGGCTGAAGAGAGTCTCTCAGAAATACAAAGTTTCTGAGACTGCAATCTGTTCAGAATCAGATGTCTAAGTGCTTTGAGTGATTTGTGGTCAAAGATAGAAAAGCCAGGCTTTTTTTGTTTAAGTGCTGCTGTGGTTAGGTAGTCATTAGATGAAACATGGAGGGAAGGAGATCTCTGTTCTGCGCTTGAATGGTTTGATTCCACACAAACCTTTCTCTGGGACTGTAGAGCCTTAGGGCTCTCAGTGTGGTGAATAGCAATTTTTGATAGGAATCAGGGCAGTGGAAAAGTTCCAGAATGCCTTAAGACAATGTTGTGTCCATTTCTGAAGAGAGGACAGAGGTCTCCACTGATGAAGAAATAGAAGTATATGATATAATTAAAGTTAATGTACATAAGTTTATGGACGAAAAGTGTTCCAATGGATTTCAAGAGTGGATGATAAATATGATTATGTTGATACAACATGCATAAGTTTCTCTAAGGTATTTTTCTTATTGCAACAATAGAAATAGAACAATACAGAACCTGTATGACATCCATTTACTCCATTAAAATCTTGTTAATGAGATTTTGGCCAAGTGTGCAATATTATTGTGAACAGGAGTAATCACCCAGGTGAATTTAGGAAATGGTTTCATAGTGCTTAAGATTTTAAACAGTGACTTGTTAAAATGGCAACAGTGATTAAACTCAAAGCTTTTGTTGTGAAGGAAGCAGGAAGAGTTCTTTCCACCAAGCTGTTCTTCCTTTGCTTGTGTGATTTGTTCTATTGTTTTTATTGGTACTCACTACTATTTTTCCACAGGCTATAAGCAAAAAGCACCTCTAGTCTGACCACATGCCACAGGACTGTAGCACTTCCTTTAATTCCTGCTCAAGAATTTGAGTGAGAGTCAACCTGGTGTCTCGCCTAAGGGCCAGCAGCTGCTCCTGATAAATGCAGTCAGGTCTGCGGTGCATGGATGTGATCTGGCAGGGCAGGAGGGAGGAAAACTTTCCTCCAGACTGGTGCACAGCTGAAGATCCCAGGCTAGTTTCTGTGGCAGGATCTGTGCAGAGATATGCCTTTGACATCCTCAGTTGTTCTCCAGGCTCCTTGGGACGGCGGCTGTAATCCTCACCCATCCTCTTCATCTTGTCATTATTCTTTAGACTTGTGCTGAATCATAGCATTTTTTCAATATTGTGACTTAAATTTTTTATCTGCTTTCTCCTTTTTTTTTTTTGAGAAAGCAGCTAGTTATTTGAATCAGATCAACCCTACCTTTGTGAACCATTGCTTCTCTTGCAAAAGGATTAATAGCTTCATTGCCTCTATTATTCTACCAGCAATTTAATGTTTGTCATTATTCTTGGATGGTGTTTGACAGCATTTATGAATCCAGAATACATATATGTGGTTATAGGATGCAAGAATGCACTGGATGAAAGTAACTCCAAGTATCCCAAGAGATAGTGTTTCTGACAAGCAAAATCCCTGTACAGACTCAAGTGACAATCAATTCAGGTTCTGTCACACTTGAACTGTGGATTTCAGTGATTATGCATCCATGGGCAAAAGTTTATTAATGTAAATGTCAGTTTTGCTTGCTTGTAATACAATAGCAGCTCAAAAACATGGAAAAGTTTGATTCTAGTTTGCTTCATTTTCAATTTTCATGTTTTCTGGCAGAGCAGAGAACTTTTTGTACTCACATATGGGGCTTTGGTAGCCCAGCTGTGCAAGGACTTTGAAAAAGATGAAGATGTCAACATCTGTTTAGATAGAATGTAAGTACTGATCAAATGTTCAACTTTACCCATAATGCTCTTTGTCCACCTGTATGTTACCTTTCAGCTTGTTTGGTCCCTTGTGAGTTCCAGCATTCTGTTTAGGCTTACAGAGATGATGGGGATAAGGTTCAATATTCTGCCAACAGAAATAACACTAATTTGTGAATTAAGATCAACAATTAGCTATCGAATTCTCTGAAGAAAAGTGTCAGGATGGTTTTCATAGCTTACACTTGTTCCTTGCTGACCCTTTTGTTACGCTAATTAATGATATAATAATGTCTGTATCCGTGTGTTTAATTTCAACTTTCCCACACACAGGGTTAGGGGCAGATGGGCCTTTCACTTTTAGAAGACCATACAGCAAGTAGTGAGATAGCACAAAAGGTCAATGAGGATGGATTTTTACATGGATGACCTCTTTGGAAAATGAAGATCCTGTGTTTACAGGATCCTGTCATCCTGACTGAGGTTCCTAGGCATTACTACCATTAAAAAATCATAAGGTCAGCAAGAAACAACTTCTTGAGCTGTGTAACAAGAGAATATACTAAAATCTTTGGCATAAGAGTAAGGCTTGTGTTTTCAGGCAAAATGGACATGCAGAATGGATTTACAATAGTCACAGTCAACAGAATATCTGACCACTTTTGTATTTGCCTGAAAGTTTGCAAAAAAGCTGTAGTCCAATAACTATCTGTGAGTCAAAAGATCATGGTTTGGAAAAAAGAAAAGTAATTTATTCAAAGACTCAGAGGGGACAACATTCCCCAGATATTTATTTTCTATTCATCTCTCATTCAGCTCTGATGAAAATCATACATTTAAAAAATGCACAAACTTCTTTATGCTGCTATGGTAGAAATTACTAAGAGTAGTTTTGGATGATGTGGAGACAGATTTTCATAGACTCATAGACTCAGCCAGGTTGGAAAACACCTCCAAAATCATCAAGTCCAACCCTACTGTGGTTACTAGACCATGGCACATCCAGTCTCATCTTAAAAACCTCCAGGGATGGTGAATCCACCACCTCCCTATGTAGCCCATTCCAGTGCCGTTCCAATTGTTCATGTTTTCATGATTACAGTTGTTTCTAGAAAATCTATTTGTTTTAATGAAGACTTGATAACATAATGGCATGCTTCATTAAAGCAGTATGGCTGTTCTTTACCTCTGTGATTATGAAAACAACACAGCTTCAGGAAGAGACAGTATTCTCTCTCTCACTCTCTCTGTCTCTCTCCCTCTGTCCATATATAATCTGTAGTGAGAAGGGTGTTTTTCACTGTACAGTTGCCAAATAGCTGCTTGTCAATTTGCTATTAATTTGACTTTGCAAGTCTAAGGCATAGAAGTTGAAAAGTAAGTAGTCTTATACATCACCAATACGTACCTTGCTAAATGCTGATGACATATTTGCTGATGTTATTGATATTGATACTTAAGCAGTAGATAAATATTTCATTGTTTCCTGATGCATGTCATACTGCAATTTTAATCTTCACGCTGCCAAAACCACTTTTTGGTCTTGTCATCACATTAGACATCAGATCACTTTCTGGCTTCTTGCCAAAGATGTGGTACATACAGCAGAAAGACACTCCATGGTGTTCACGCTGCTTCACTGAGGGTGTAGTGCCTCTGACAAACAGGCAGACACTGCCAGCATCCACATAAACTGAAACAAAAAGTTCCCTAAAAACATTTCTGAGTAACCACTTTTTGGTCTTGTCATCACATTAGACATCAGATCACTTTCTGGCTTCTTGCCAAAGATGTGGTACATACAGCAGAAAGACACTCCATGGTGTTCACGCTGCTTCACTGAGGGTGTAGTGCCTCTGACAAACAGGCAGACACTGCCAGCATCCACATAAACTGAAACAAAAAGTTCCCTAAAAACATTTCTGAGTTGAGTTTCTTTCATAA